GACACCAATCACATTTTCGCTGCTTGTAATAAACCTCTAAGATGGTTGTGGAGGAACCAACTGATTTTCAAAGAAGGAAATGACACTTTAACTATTATGGTGAATTTAATAAAGTTACTTTTCGTTAAATTGGGTTAGGGCCAAGCTAAATACAGAGATGGCCAAAGACTCGTGGATTGAGAATCCCAGTGAAGCATGTAAATGAAAAGGACCATGATTGGTGCACACTCGGTGTACACACATCATTTTTCTAAATGAAAAAAGATTTTTTAAAGATAATTGTGCTGGGACTGAATTAAGTCACGTAATACAAGTAATACTTTTGATGATGTAAAGGGTTGGAGTATCCATAATACTCCTACTTCAGTTTTAATAAAATTTATTTTGCCTGAAAAAAAAAAAAAAAAACCTCAAAAAATTTAGCTTCCTATTTGCAGATGGTGGGGTATTCCCTCAATTGGATGGCTGTGAGCTGCTGTCATTCTGGCCAATATATTTCCCTTGAATGTTGGTCACTCACTATCCCAACGACTACTTGGTCTACAATGGCTCAATGGGAATGGAATTATATGGCTCAACTTGGGACGAGAACAGAATTTTTCATGACCTTGTACAATCCAAGTCTTTCAGTTGGATTGAAGCTAAAAGATTAGAAATTCATTTATATATAAATTTTATAAACTATATTTTTACAAAATCTCAACATTTATTTTTATATTTTTAATAGTTAAAATTTATCTTAATTTTTTAAATAACAAAATAATTATTTTTAATAAATGTAAATAAATTTCAATTGAAAGTGAAAACATGAATAATTGAGATTTTATGTAAATGTAATATATAAAAGTTATATATAAATAAATCCTCATTCAAGCTAAAATAAAGAACTCAAATTTTAGTTTTAGCTATTGTTGCCTTTTTCCTTATCTTTGCATAAGAAAATGATATGGTTACCCTACCGACTGACACCCTCAACTACACCATTCGGTTCTCAAAATATAATATGATTTAGATAGATTTGTACAGCATTAAAAACTTATCCCTAACTTATCTGGGTTATCATTTATCTCCTTCAAAATTCCTAGTCCTAAAAACCAATTCAATCCCTCAAAGCTTTAAAGATTCTGGCACTTACCAGTCCCAATGTGATGAAACCATGTCAATCAGCCTTCCTTGACCTCCATTTCTTCAAATTGTATAGATTATGAGTCTATGGGTTATGCAACGAGATTGACTGCAAGAGTTATGGAAGTGTCAATGAATCCCCAAGACCAAATTCCAACAAGAGTATCAAGTGAAATCCCAATAACAAATAGGATCCCAGTGGATTAAGAATACTCTTAATTCTCTCAATACTGCATCTTAGTGTTATCAAACAATTTTTAGGTGTTATTCATTCTAGCATTTTTTTTCATTTGGTGCAATTTGAATTTAGTTAAATTTTTTGTTCCATACGTCCGTTAAATCCACTATTCGTGTCTATATTGTTGCAGATCTTGTTTTAAGGCTAATGAAGAGAACAGGAATGAAAGGACTTCTCAAAATCTGAATAAAAGAAGAATTACAGTTGAAGATAGGAAGCTGAACTGTCTAATATGCAAACTTGAGGTGGAGGACCTAAACGATGCACTGTTGTAATGTGACTACGACATAGGTCTGGACAGAGGTTTTTGCTTGGTGAGATGTTGAAGTGGATATGTTGTGTTCAATTATACACTGCTTTCAGGCAATTCATGCGTGACTTTACTAATGATAAGGTGCAAGTAGTATGGTTTTTTTTATGCATCATCATTGCTTGGCACATTTGGGCTGTTCATAATAATATAATTTTTAGAGATGTGGAACATTAGTGGATGAGGTTGTGGAATCAATTAAGGTTAAATCGTTCTTGTGGACAAATGATAGATCCCAGTGATGTTTGTTTTCTATTAATGATTGGAGTTGCAGCCGATTATGCTGTGTGCAGGGATGGTAATACAGTAATTAAGGGTTCAATGATTTGCATGTAAAATGGAGATTGGGTTACTGGTTTGGGGAATTATGTGAGTGCTGTTAGGATCGGAGCATCCTTGTACTCTAAAATAATAACAATAAAAAAAAATCTATTTGGCTTATTAAGAAAAAATTGCTTGCACAATGAAAGATTGAGTCATGACTTCTTCAATTTAAAACTTCGTAGTTCTATTTTTAATGGGAAGTTAGTTAAGATTATTATATGACATAA